GGTCGATCTCTCGAGGAAGAGAGTTCGGAATTTAGCGTTGGTATTAATCACACACGAAAAGAAATTAAATCCTAAACACTCTAATCAAGGATGATTTGGAGAAATATCTAAAACTAATTAGAACTAGGAAAGCGAATAACGAAATAACAAATAAATTGTTAGAGAAATAGAAGAAGTTCTAGGGGTCGGAAAATCTCATCAAGTCTCAAACTATGTTGAACGATTATTTGTCCGTTTACGAGATATAACAAGCCTACACGTCTAGAGGGCTATGCTCAATAACTCTTCGTAACAAGAGCACATACATAAACGATAAACTCATTCAAACAAGCAACACATAAACAATACGTTTCCGAACATGTCTACTCTATACGAGCCTAAATCGACCGACATCTCCCCTCTCGGTTCTAAACGTCGATTAATTAGATTAGAATGGTGATCAATCAACTAACCCTATAATTCACATAACTCGCATAGATTAAACAAAACACATTCCCGACAATTCAAAACAAGAATCAAAATCCTTAACCCTAGGTGAATGGATTACCTCATGCTTAGATTCAATTTCATGTTAACCAGAATTAAAAACATAAAACCAATCAACAATAATAGAATAGAATTGAAAAACTTACAATCAGATTAAGACTTGAAAGATTTCAATCCACATATCTTTGTATTCAACAATTCAAGTATGAGAGAAAAAAAGCAGAGAAAATTATCCTCACAATATTGAGTTTTTGGAGAGAAAAATTAAAAAGAACGATATTGGGGGTTGTTCTCACGAGTCTAAGGATCATTTTGATATATAGTGCGCGATAAACGGAGCTAAAACGAGTAGAAACGAGCAAAAAATAAAAACAAAGGCGAGCAACTCGCGAGTCGCGACTCTGACGGGACGTGGGATCGCGGGCGTCGATCGGAGGCTCTGTTAAAGTCGCGAGTCGCGACTTTACTTTCTTGAGTCGTAAATTTGGAGTCCGGAGTCGCGACTTTGCGCTTGTGAGTCGCAACTTTGGCTGGCTACACTGCATGACTTACGTTTTGGCTTCGCTTGGGCTCGTCCGAACTCGGAATTGAGTTCCGTTTTTTCCTACACGTAGCTAACAACCCCTCTATCTAATTTATGCTCTCGAAACTAGTTTTTCCTGTTGATAAAATTCACCCGAATCTCCCTGCCTACACACCAAAGACGACAAAACACACAAAAAAAAAAGACTGGAAAAACAAACGAAAAACACCTAAAGACTCAAAATGAAGGAAAACACATAATAAGACATGAAACGAACTAAAAACGTAATAAAACCCCTAAAACGGGGGAAAAAGAAGAGCAAAACGAGCCCACTGTCGAATTCCAAAAGTACAAGGACTAAGTTCATGTACCCATGCCCGTGCCCGAATCGAGCTGAGCCTGTCGCCGGCAGGGGTGCGCAGTGTGGCCAAACCAAAGATCAATGCTTGGGGCATAGTTTTGTTGTTTTTGTTGTTATCATCTCTTTATTTCATTTACGAGACCAATGTGGATAGGATTTTTGACTCTTCAAATTTCACAACCAACACTTTAAATATTCATTATTGGCTAACTTTAATCATTAATTTCTTACTCACTTAAAATAAATCTTAAAGAAAATAAATATAATATGAGTATTAACATGTGCACAGATTCTTTTTACACAATCTAATTCAACACAAATTAAATATTTAAACATAAAAAAGTTTTGTCAAACCAAATTTTATTTAATTGTTTTTCTAACAAAAATATGTACTACGTGGTTATTAACATAATGCTAAAACATTAAATGATCTTGTACATTATAATAACTTCGCGAGGACTTTGATTAAAATTAGTCATAAGATTTAATGACGCGTAGCTTGCGCATGAAAAACATTACTTATTTATTAAAAACAAATATTGTTAAGAAAAAAAAAAGATAAAGAAAAAGACCCCCAATGACCCTCACTGTTAGTATATGTGTCCTTGATCATATTCATATTATATTTGATGATATTTGTGGTTTTGCATTAATTAATGAATTCTTTTGATTGTCTGTAATTTATTAGTTAAATGCTCCCTTGAGTTAATATTGTTTTTAACAGAGTAATATGTTAATCGATTGAGTATAACTCTTAGATTGCCTCAATCGGTGATCATTAAGAAAAGGGATATTAATGATACGTTGTAGATTGACATGTGGTCTGCATCATATTCTTCGAGAATATAGTATGTCTCACTACTATGAATAATTGTTATTCGTGATGGACACATGAATACTTTAGAGAGTATTGGTATACCCTACCGAGAAACCATTTGTTTATGTTTCTATGAGAGTATCAGTGTGTGGAATGGTGTAATAGTCCTTTGACTTGAGGTCAATACGCAATTCATGTATAGAGTGATTTACTTAGACCTAGTCCAACGCTTATGCCCTTATGAGTAAACACGGGCTTGTGTTGGGTAGATCATGATATACATGGTGTTAGAGGTATGCTGTAAAAGCTATGTTTTGCAGATTCTATCAATTCCATTTTGATCTGGCCATCATGTTTCAGTCAAAGTACATATTTTTGCAGTTTATTTATTTATGCAAATCATACTCCATGTCTTATATTGAGGTAGTGTGGTTTGAAGAGTTTCGAACAGAAATATCACCTATCGGTTCCTTATAAGACTAAACTATTCGTTCACAGTCTTGACAGGCAGTGAGACCCCTCTTGGAAAAAGACTGTAGGGTATTCTTGATTCAATTGGTCTTTGATTGAAGGATTACACTAGCACTTATGTTAAGTGTTGAACAGGACCACGAAAGGATAAGGATATGAGACTCACTGACTGTTGTTATAACCTAGACCTTCAGTGATTGATGCGTTCTCCAAAGCTATAAGATAACATAAAATAGGCATATATTTTTATTTCTTATTTATTTGATTTACCAAGTGATTCCTATTTTATTAGGATGACATACGAGGTACTTTGGTAAGTAAGA